CAAGGTCCCTCTGGATGGCATTCCTTCCCTCGAGCATATCAACTGAACCACACAGCTTGGTGTCATCAGCAAACTTGATGAGGGCACACTCAATCCCACTGTCCATGTCAGCGACAAAGATGGTGAACAAGACCGGTCCCAACACCGATCCCTGAGGGACACCACTCGTTACCGGTTTCCAGCTGGACATTGAGCCACTGACCACAGCTTTTTGCGTGCGGCCATCCAGCCAGTTCTTCATGCATCGAGTGGTCCATCCATCACATTGATGTCTCTCCAATTTAGAGACAAGGATGTCGTGTGGGACAGTGTCGAACACTTTAAACAAGTCCAGGTAGATGACATCAACTGCTCTACCCCTGTCCATCAGTTCCGTAGCCCCATCATAGAAGGCCACCAAATTGGTCAGGCAGGATTTCCCCTTAGTGAAGCCATGCTGGCTGTCACCAAGCACCTTGTTGTTTTTCATGTGCTTTAGCATGCCTTCCAGGAGAATCTGCTCCAAGATTTTGCCAGGCACAGAGGTGAGACTGACTGGTCTGTAATTCCCTGGGTCATCCATTTTCCCCTTCTTGAAATTGGGGGTTATATTTCCCTTTTTCCAGTCATCGGGAACTTCATCTGACTGCCATGATTTTTCAAATATAACGGACAGTATCTTAGCAACTTCATTCACCAGCTCCTTCAGGACCCGTGGATGGAGTCCATCAGGTCCCACGGACTTGTATGTTCAGGTTCTTAAGATGGTCTCGAACCAGATCCTCTCCTACAGTGGGACCAAGGTCTTCATTCTCACAGTCCCTGTGTCTGCCTTCCAAGACTTGGGTGGTGTGGTCAGAGCATTTGCCAGGGAAGACCGACAGAAAGAAGTCATTCAGAACCTCAGCTTTCTCCAAATCCTGTGTAGCCAGTTCTCCTGATAGCTTCCGGAGGGGGCCATGTTGTCCCTAGTCTGTCTTTTATTTGCAATGTACCTATAGAATCCCTTCCTGTTATGTTTCACATCCCTAGCCAAGTTTAATTCTAACTGGGCCTTAGCCTTCCTAACCTGGTCCCTAGCTTCCCGGCCAACATCCCTGCATTCTTCCCAGGCCACCTGTCCTTGCTTCCACTTTTTATTTGTTGCCTATCTGTCCTCTATACCAGCTTTACCACAGACTCCACCTTTCAGCAGAAACTTTGTCACTTCACTCTTGCATTTCTGAACTCCTGAAGGTATACCATCCAGCCACAGAAGTCTCACAGAACATTTTTTGCTTTTCTTCTACAAGTTTAACTTCATTACCTGGGAAGAAAAATGTATCTCCTCTATACCTAGTATAGTGAAAAATGCAAATTACACGGTCTCCAAAAATTGTTTCTACAGACCTAGAATATATCCCCATTGAATTAACAAATTAATCTATCAATAGCACATTGAAGGAAATCTAATTTCATGTGGCATCCCCACGTGTCTCCCTGGTTAATAACCACATCATTCACAAGTCTGCTACCTATGATATAGTCAAAATCTTCCCTCCCTGCATTCCCTTAAATAACAAGCAAAAACAAGCACATACTGCAGCCAGTTCCAAATTAGCAGTAAACAGGCTAATTTATATATGTACTCTGACTGGATAGGCAGCAGTCCAAAGAGAACAGAATATTTTGAACTCCACTTGATTTTCACCCTTGACTGAAACACTCACGGGCCTTGTACTTCTCTGCCTCTAACATTTTTCATGAAAAAGGTAAGAACATATCTTTAAGACTAATTTAGTTGAAACTTGGAGAATTTGGACAGAAGCTTTCTCTTTCTTATTTGTTCTCTTATGACCTTTTGATCTCAGATACCTCCCTTATTACCCTACTTAGCCATGAACTTCCCAGGTTAATGCTGGATCCTGAAAAGCACACATGTTCCATTACAGATCTCTCTCGCTTTCTCCCAAAGGTATTGGGGTAGTTCAGTTAGAGGAATATCTTCTTGTTTTTGAATACTGTGGGTACTACAGCTCTTACACACAGAAGCACATAACTCTACTGTTTGTCATAACCTCAAAATCAGTTTTACTATTAAATTTTATGTAGTCACAAAAACATTGTAAATATGTGATTTTAAGTAAATAAAATGGAATAAAATTCCTCAGAAGTAAAAACCAACATTCATTGTTACAGGTATGTTAAACAACAAAGACTCTCCCTAGCAGCTTCATTGTATTAATTTGTAAAGCTGATTATTTATCTTTCATAACCTGAGATTGTCCTACTCAAGTGTGTCCTTAAGATAAGTGCAGGAAAGACATTGCCATTAAAGACAGTTACAGAAGTAACTGCTGCTCCTTTTCTAGTCTAATATACAATAATACTGTGTCTCTTTATACATCTCTTATTCATGCAACTAGGCAGTAAGACATCATACAGTGATGCAGGGGATTAAGTAATGATTTTCATGGTTCTAGATCAGTATTTCTATTGTATACCACTGTGAAGGCACCCTTGTTTTCCCAATGTTGCAAGTATAAAGATACACTGATGAAATTTTTATACCATATAATGAAAAATATTTTTCAAAAATACAAATTAGTGCAAGGCAAAATGTTCTCACACACTTTGTGAAGCGACTCAAAAGTAACCGTACAAGGGAATGAAACCACACATCAGCAATGCTTTACCTTTCTACCATCTCCATCTTTCATATCACAAGAACTGTTCATTTCATGAACATTTCATGAGTATCACCATGAAATTGCCATCTGGTGTTTCAGAAGAGAATGGAGAGAACTGATAAGACAGAAAGCTGATGTAATCACAAAAATCTTGTTTTCTTAAGATGACAGATTTGAAATACCTTGTTCCATGCTCTTAAAATACTTACATTTAAAATTTTCCATTTGAATATTGTAATTTTAGCAGAAAATTGCTTAATAAATTAAACTGATTGAATATTCAATTAAATTTAATTGAATTAAACTGATTGAATAAATTAAACTGATTGAAATGAGTGTAAGAGAGAAAAACATGAAACAGGTGCTTTGGGCATAGGTAGGAAACAGCAGGGATTGACAAAGAACAGAGGTGGACTCCCAGCCAGAGTGGCAACATCATTCCAAGCACAGCTGTTGAGCCTACATTCCTGGGTACCCCAGAGACCCCAGCTAGCACACAGATACCAGAAGCAATTCTCACAAGAACGGGAACAGAAAACAAGCTTCCCAGCTGCTCTTGGAAGGAGGTAATGTATTCAGAGAACCCCTACCCCCGAGACACAGCTGGGCACAACACAGGGAACCAAAATACAAAGGCATTCAGCTCTCACATTATAGTTCTTGCCCTTGGAAAAGAAACAGTCCACAGCAATAATAGTCTTTTCAAAAGTCTCTTGCTTACACCCTCCCTAAATGAATAGTATAATCTTGCCATTAAACATGATTAAATTCAACTATCAGGTCCCTTTAATACCAGCCAGGTACTTTACAACAAGGTAGACTAACTCCAAGTTTCTGAAATAGTTTTAAACAATTGTATTATTTTTATTATTTAGGTAACTGATCTTCTCTACCAGGGGTCACCTTATCATAAAGGAAATATTTATCTGTACAAACACTGTGTTGCTCAATACAAAATCTCACTTGGAAATAACCTACATTGTTTGCTAGGAGCTGAGGTGTCTACTGTTTTCTGGTCACAAAGAATGGAATTAGCGCTTTCATTCTATACATTTCCCACTCTTCTGTGGGGAAAGTATCTTCAGAGAGCACAGAAACAAAAAGCAACGTAGACATATTTAGCATGACCAACATATTTCCAGAGCTTCCACTGCACTTCATAGCCACTTCCAGACTTGAATATATCTGCACTGATAGGTGACTAAACAGACTTCAGCCTCCACCATCTGCAATTACCAAAGGATGCTCCTCTGTAAACCAACACAGCTCAGCTCAGGAAGCTACACAGCCCTTCCCTCACAGAGCTCTGTGAATTACTCTCCAGATTCCCCCTTCTATACTTCCTAATTTAACCAGCAGTAACTAGCTGTGGTAGGAATACAGAAGTTTATATAGCTGATTTTTAAATGGCAGCAAGAAGATAACTTGGTTCTCTAGATGGACCTATGAAACCACAGCAGTTGGAGCCAAGCGGGAAATGAGTGGGCTTAGGGAGAAAATCTATTAATTTATTTTTAAAGTTCTTTTCAGAAAAAGACTTAGATGAAATAGATACATTTCCTTTTTCCTGAGATGTTTTTTTAGATACTGTTTTTTATCCAAGGAGGCAGCTTCCATCATATATTTAGCTTTCAAGAAGTCAGCATTTCCTGAATGAATGTTCATTTCTCTACTGGATTTTTTTTTAATAGTTTTACTGACAAAGTCTAGCTTTAAAATGCTGAATTCTGATTTCACTAAGAGAACCATACTGACAGCTCTGAATATTACTGGACAAGCAAACAAGCTTCTCCCGGTGTTCCTCATACCACTTCGGGCTTTGAAAGATCAGATTCTCTAAGTAGGGTCTGGCCGGATGCAACATCAGGCCTCAGCATCACTGGTATGTTCAGTGTTCACGTTCTCTGCTGCATCATCAGCAAGAAGGTGCTTTGGTTTTGTGACTTATCCTTTAAAGTTCAAGAACTATCTATAAAGGCTAAAGTGCCTGTATTAGTTTTGGAACAGCCCAGGCTGAATCAAAACCTTGAACCAGATGCAGAAGAGTCCAAAACAATCAGTTCAGCTTCCTAGACTTATAAATGCACTCCACCTTTTAAAAAGAGATACTGCCAATCATCTAAACAGATATTCAAAATCCAAACAGAACAATAAAATTGAAAGAAACAAATAGCACCAGCTCCTGCAACTATTAAAGATGCTTCAGAAAATTTAGCAAAAGACCACTGTTAAAAACTGTATCTCCAAAATCCAAGTATCAGATCAAAGATGACAAGTGCAGAGACTGTGAGAATGAAGCCTGTGTTAGCCTTTTCTATTGTGACAGGGACTCTAGCTTTACTGCTTACACACCTGCTGTATAAGGAGACTGATGTGGTGTGGTGGGGAATGCTGACAGCCTACCTGCTTTTCTGCCACCTGCTGCAGTTCTGCTGCTACCATACCGGGGTTATTACTACTGTCCTGGGAAGAAGTCTCTTCTGCATCTTTGTGCGTCCTGGCTGAGCCCACATGCTGTCCACTTGAACTGCAATGGCACAAACCTTCCAAACAAACATTGGATATGCTTAGTAAGTGGTATGTCAGACTCTCTCAGCCTGTTGATCACAATACAAAAGCAAGTATGATACATTCTGCATATTCAAGGGAGAATACAGCCTTCTATTCTGCATCATGGCAGGGGGGTTGGAACTAGATGATCTTAAAGTCCTTTCCAACTCTAACTATTGTATGATTCTATGATTCTATGGGTATTGCCTACATGAGCTTTTGTCAATTCAAAACCCATATTCTCTTCATCATAATGTATCTAATGACAACCAATTCCAGACAATATTAGTTGCTGTTACCCAAGTTAAATCTATAGTTCTTTCCCTTAAAAACAAATGGATTAATTTAAACAACCTATTCAATTAGGAAGTCAAATTTATTTTAATGCCAGAAAGTTGGTCAATATATATACATATCTACACAGCAACCCAAATGAACATGTGCTGACCCTGATGTACAGTCTAAAGCAAATGTATATCATTAAAAAAAAAAAAAAAATCAGGACCACAGTCCTTAGCCTATGTGTGGTTCCCAAAACTCTGTAAATAAAGTACAACATGTATCTAAAAATTCCTATAGTTTCTTCTACTCTTCAGATTTGTTACACTCTAAAGTTGCATTGCTTAACTATGTTCTACCCCAGCATGGTAAATGAGAAGTCTCTAGATCTTGGTTTTAAGATACACTTGTAGAAGTATGTGCTGAAAGGTCCTGAAGAAAGAGATACAGTAATGATCCATTCAGATCTTTTGGTTTTCAAGGTCCTTACACACCTTTATCAACAATTCTGAGGTTTTGTTAAAGGATTCCTCTGCATGATAGAGAAACAGAGAACTAAGAAAACATGGACTGAAACAGGACTTCCACTAACCAAAACTAGATTAATATTACTAAAGATAAAAGAGCTCAGTAATACAATCAGGTAAATATATACAACACTGTATTTCCCAGCTCTTTTCAAACAAGTTCAATGGCTGAGTTCAAGGCCGCTACCTGAAAGGAGGCTGTAGCAAGATAGGTGTGGTCTCCCATGTGATAGGAAAACGGCATAAAATTGCTCCAGTGGAAGTTTAGACTGGATATTGGGAAAAATTTCTTCATCTAAAAGGATGTTAAGCACTGGAACAGGCTGCCCAGGGAAGCGGTTGAGTCACCATTCCTGGAGGTATTTAAATGATGTGTAGACATGGCACTTAGAGACCTGGTTTAGTGGTGAATTTGGCAATGTCAGGTTAATGGTCGGACTCAGTGATCTTAAGGGGCTTTTTCAACATAAGTGATTCTATGATTCACTGTTCATCTGTTTAATGAAAAGGCATCTTTAGCAAACAAGGGCTGCTTCCCACACTCCATGAGAAATTTAGCACCATTCAACAAGTCTCATCATTCTGGAAATGTAAAATTTCTACCTACTCCTGAACAGAAATTACATGATCTAGCAGGTTACTATGCACCCCAGAACACTCACCTATTTTTGCAGAGTACGGTCGGGACAATCTTTGGCTGTAGATCTGAGCAGCAGTCTGAAAAGATGAGAATGAGCCAACAGTGTAGCTACCAGAATGACAACAATGTGATCCTGCAAGGCTAGATAGAAGCCTCACTGGACACTGGGTTTATGAAGACAGAGGAGCTGTCAGGAGCTGTGCTCTGCAAGGATGGTAGTGAGGAAGGGGCCTGAATCAACCTGGGACCAGCTGGAGGAGTTGGCAATGGTGACCAGGTACCTGGGATTTTTCAGAGGCTGAAGGCTGAGATGGTGTCCAGGAACTGGTACTTCTCTGGAATGTGGCACCATAAGTAGAGGAAGAAGCACTAGAAGGGCCACACCGAGGTAATTTCACTTCAGGGTTTAAGGAGAAGATGGGTTCTTCTGAAACTACACAAAGATAATGAGCACACTAGATGAGAAAAAGCTCCTTTTCAGGTCCTTTGGATAACATCAACACCCAAAGATGCCTCTACCCAGACACACTGAAGCCAGTATGACCTCATCTACTGGCAAAGACAAGAGGCTCTACATGATGAATATCCTCTTCCAAAGCTTGTTACATATCTTGATCTTCCCCCACAGTAGAGCAGCTAACACTTTCAAACTGATGGCTCTGCAGTACCTTCTCTTGGGTTTATTAAAAAAAAAAAAACAACAAAAAACAACAAAAAAAAAAACAAACAAACAAAAAAACACAAAACAAAAAAAAACACAACCCTGCAGAATCCCCCCCAAAATTGGGCACTTGAATCTCTCAGTATGAACCCAAAGGTTCCAACCTTTGTTTAAAACAGTAGATGCATTCATTATTTTTTTTATTGATGATGATTTAAGCCAGTTCACTCTACAGGTTGATTTACCTTCTTTGGGTTTACAGCCTTTTAATGCTCTTTCTGCAGGCAGTTCTGCAACTGAAATTTTGGACTGATCACCTTTTATTTTTTTCACCAGCTCAGGATGCTCTAGAAAAAAAAACGGAGAAGTTCGGAAGGAGAACAATGCAAACTGATATCATTAAAACAGGACTGCAGAATTTTAAACCTTGTTACAATGGATTTTCTTGCTAATATTTACTGTAGACCATGCGACTCTATTGATCACAATTGCGCTGCCATGTACAGTAGCATGGACTACTGAACATTTATGGCTGGTACTGCATATCCTTCCATGAACACCCTATTAGGCTCAAATAGACAGACTCTGCCCTCCGATGGGTATGCTCACTGCAGGCAGCACAATTTTGCAGGTCTTGATTTCTCTCATCCCTTACTTTGATTTTGGGATTCTGTGCTCATTTCAGTGCCTTCAGTTTGCACATTATCGTTTCAGTCATGACCCACCCTAGTTAGCTCCCTATAAATGCTAGCCCAGATTCATCTCACTTCACTTCTTTCCACAGACTTCAGTTAAACTGGATTTATCTGGCCAATGCCATCTCAGAACTGCCTGCAAAACTTACGCTCCGGAGGCTGTTTCTCTGACTCATTACTGGTGTTGCTGCATTTTCTGCTTGTGGAGTTTTTTCTTAGGGAGACATTTGTTGACCTGTTTTTCTGTGTGTAAAACGTCAGCACTTCCGCCAAGTCACTTTCACTACAATAGGGAGACAATGGGTATAAGTGAGGATTCTAAGCTTTTATGCGCTCACATAACAATGAAAGACAAGGAGCAACAAGGAGACTGAAAAGGGGAGTGGGGAAAAAAGGTTAGGCCAGACAAGTTAATAATTTGCTCAGTTCTGCAGGGTAAGAGCAGAAAGACAGGAACACGGCTTAGTTAAACCCAAGATTCCCACTGAAATGCCAGTTTTCTTACACAGCAGAAAAAATGAGGCATCCAGGAGCCTTCCCAGGACAAATAAAGAGCAAGTGAAAATTGCAAACACATGTTTGGGGAGATTCAGTTCACAGCTGAATTTGTCAGTCTTCTCCAGGTGCTCTCTAGAACAAGCAGTTATATTTTTCACAACAGAACTCAGCTCAGCCTCTGTTTTATAGTCATCTTTAGTAGTTTTAATTCAGCAGTGGGGGGAAAAGAGGAAAGAAGAGGAAAAAGCCTGTTAATTAGCCAAAACTGCAGGACAAACAAATAGAACAGTCAATATTTTCATTAAGCTCACACAACCACCATGCATTTCTCACTTTCTTTACAACAAAAGAGTTTAACTGCTCCAATGTCCTAAGTATCTATTGGTCCCAAACCAGTATCAGTTACTTGGCATTCATATTAGAGCTTGTGCAAGCTGTAATTCTGATTGTTTTGGTATCTAATATGCTTTCCTTTTGCTTTATAGTGCTGCTCAGACTTAGTGACTGGGTATAAAGCAGAGCAAACACCAAAAGCAGGAAGTATAGTGAAAGTAACAATACAAGAAAACATAACACAGGAATATAAGTTAGCATAGCAGCAGTTATAATCCTTCAAAATGTCTTCTGCACATCACACTTGTACTAGTCTTAGCTAGCCTGAGCTTTGGTAAAAGCAAAGTCTAAAGCTGGAACATGCTACACATCCCAGTAGAGTTTAGACCTTGAGGGTATGCTGCAAAGTTCACCTTTTCTCCCAGACCAATGACAACAAAGGTGAAGAGGAAATATAAGAAGAAGAGTTGTTGGTAGAAAGGTGCTTTAAGCTTTTAAATGAATTTATCAGTGTAAGTATATTCTTCTACATTGCACTGAGGATGTTTAGGTGTAATTATCGTAGCATATGTATAACTAAATACAATGATATCCATGGGATATCAAAGATAGAAAGTCAACAAGACAACCCCAGTTATTAAGTGGCAACATTTATTATCCCTTTTCTCTAGTGTCGCATTCACTGTACAGCAGAACAACTACTCAAAGTGAAAATCTATACCCTTTGCTGGGCTCCAAATGACTAGTTCACTGATTTAAGCTTTAAGCATAGTGCAAAGTGCCATCACCTTAATCAGAATTTTCAGACATACCTGACACCTCATGAGAAGCATAAAGATCATCACTAGAAATTGTCTGATCATTGGCAAACTGGCTTTTACTGCTCTTTATCACACAGATGATCAGATGGTCCAGCAAAAATCTCCAGCTCCAGCCTGAAGTGTGCATCAGGCCATGATGGCATGGCAGCCAGTAACAAAGAAACAGAAGAGTTCTGACCCTAACAGGCATATCTTAACATTTCTTGCAAAAATCAAAATGACCTGATCTAGGACGCAACAGCCATTTTAGTGGACAAAGATATCAGAGAACCAAAAGCATGCTGTGGGCCCATGTAACCTGCATTTCTAGTGACAGGAGAAGACGCTATGGTATAGGGCAGTGAGACACCTTGAGCATCACTCTTTTACAGAACTATGTGAAAAACAGTGAGATTTTTCTTCGAGCCTGTAAGTCTGTTGCAGTAATAACTCTATCAATTATACTAAAATGTAAAATTAATTGTTTTCATGAGAATGTAGTTCAAAAAATACTATAAAGCCTCCTGAACTTAGTTAAAAAGCCTCAGCTATAACTCACTTTTAGTCACTAAGAGTGCTATCCAAACAGAGAAAAAGAGAAAACAGTTTCATAACTGATCATGAAAAAGAAGCAGTGACTGTCAACCTCCCCAGAGAAGATAGAAGGGTGTTAAAAAGGCAGGTTAACACTACCTGTCCACATACTGACAGGGGTCATTGCCCATACATGCATGTCATACATACATCAAATAAAGCAGTCAAAATTAATCAGGTTTTGTGCTCAAGAATCAGAAACTTTGAGGGCATAATTCCAGTTCACTGAATAATTTCAGACCTCTCCATAGTTAGATAGCTATAATACCATTACTTTTTCATAAAATGCTTTAAGGCCATGAAGAATATTTATGTGTTTCCAGAATACATTTCCTGTTAGACCCTTGTAAGTTTAAGACACACAAAGTTCAAAGCACGCACAGCTAGAAAATGCTAGTGTTTCATTGTGAAAGTAACTGCTTGCTCTGAACTGCCTTAGCAGGCCAAATAAGACACTAGGATGAAGACAGAGAGTATAACTCCCTTCTTTCCTCATCTAAGAAAGTCTAAACCTGCAGAGTTCCTGAAGATGGGCAGCAAGCATGAGATTTGTTTCTGAGAGCAGAAACTTGAGAGCCAGAACCACAACAACTGTTCAACCACAGCAGTTCAAGGCCATCTGAGCAGCAGCTCTAGTTTCATTCTCCTTCCAAAATAACTCCACATTTACTCCAGCATCACAGAAAGGACACCATTAGCTCACCAGCATCACTTTGAAATTTACAGAGAGCAGGGCAACCATTGCTGCCCTTTGGTAATCTATTTAATGGTCAAAACATCTCTTAGATGTCCTCTAAGCACCAGATGCTGATGCTACAAGTGTTTGGTTGCTGGAAGAAAAGATGGAAGACAAGTTTTTGTCCCCAGCAAGAGCAGGAGGAGGCGCTATGGTCAATAAATGTATTTAGAACCCTTTAGATCGATCAGATCATCTTTAGAACAACCCCATCACTTTCAGGGCTGCAAGACCCTTTATCAAAAAGAGTAAAATCCATTCCTACCTTGCCTTGCTAATGAAGTTCTGAAAAAGTTCAGGATTCATTCCCTGCTCCTCTTCCTGTTTCTTTTTTGATTGCTTCTGAACCATCTGCTCTGTTTCCTGTTAGTAAGTAGTATCAGTAAGTGTCTCTATGTAGTTACTTTATGTTCCATGCACAGCTACAGCTCAAAGAAAAAAAAACAATTCTATGGCATCTAAGACAAAAGAACATAACTCCAAAGAGCCAAATTTTAAATATTTCACTGTGGGCAACAGAATGGATAAATATAGATAGCCCGAGAGACAGCATTCTAAGTATACACTGAACCTGATATAACTTATTAGAATTGATTTGCTGAGAAAAGAGTAGTCTTCACAAATACACGCTCTTCTCCAAATATAGACTTTGCTGGGACATAAGGAAATACAGAAAGAAAAAGAAAAAATCTTTCTAGTTTTGTTGTTTTCTGTCATAAATACAGAGTTCATCAGAATAGCTTTTATTTGAGCATCTATCCCAGAAGGAGTTTTTCAGAAAGGACAAAACCCACAAAATTATACTAGAAGAAACTCAATCAAGGAGGCCTGCTGAGGGCATCCACACTTCCTACTGTAAACTAGGAGCTCTCCTCTAGAGTTAATTTTTTTGTCACGCACTAAATAGCCAAGGTCTTACCTACACATCAAAAACATACTGCTTCAGCAGAAGCGAAGAAAGTAAAACAGTTCAGCCTGTGGCAAATATGCATTATACACTAAAATATACTGGCGTAAAAGATGGTGAACCTTTGTGTGTAAGAATGGGAGCAAGTTCTCAGATATAAATAATCTTTCTATTTCACACCAGTGGAACTTGTTGACACTAGCAACTGTATTAATACAAACATTTTTGTTAATTAAAATAAAAAAAAAACTACAAGCCTGTCTGAAATACCAATACTACCACACAAGCTTTATCTGACCAGACTTCACCTCCACTTCATTACTTCCTTCGGCTATGCTGAGCATTCCCAGGACAAAAGGGTCAGACACTTTGAAAGATAATTCAAGAGGGAGAAGAAAAAGCCACTCTGGGACATGGTTCCACCCTTCATTACTTAAGTAGAAGTCTGGACAATATGTGATCTCTTACTTAGCTTGCTGGAGGTAGTTTTTTTGATTCTGTGTCATTACAGAAGATACATAATGATTAGTAGGAGTCCCTACTAAAGCTGAAGTTACAAGTCAGTGAAAGAAGTCTATATGATTCTAGTTGGAATCAGACATCAAAAAAAACCGCATAACCAAAGAGTCTCTCAACGGCTTAAACATGTACGTCATAAAACCTCAAGTGATCTGTTCTCACTTGTTTTAACCTAGAAAATATGTTTATGCACTGTTCTATTACCAGTTACACAGTTTTATTTTGTGAATTTACTTAAGAGTTAGCAGAAAATCCTCATGTTTTAACATAATTTGAGTGGAAATTATATCCAAAGCAGCTGCATTCTTCACTCACCACAGAGCCACCCGAGTGTTTTGTGGTTACTCCTAACACAGTATTTCAGCGAGCATTAGGCATAGGAGACACTCCCTGGAACAGATTTATTTCAATACCAACCTTGCTTTGACAGACCAAGTTACTAGATGTCAGTTCTTACAAGGTAATGTAAGTGAACAACCTCTGCTAATGAGAAGGAGCTCAGAGGCCTATTTACAGAGCAGTGTCTGAAAGCAAAATTTAAACTACCCTTGTTCCAACGCTAAAGAAATGTTAGGAGCAAAGGAAAGGGGAAGCTGTTCTTGCAAAACAAGGATTACCATGATACCACTATGTTAAGAACAGCATATTCTATATCTAAAGAGGTGAAAATTACTTAAATTAGGACCTACTTCTTACTGAGCACGCAGAGTCCCATACTGCAGATAAGTAGCAGTTCCTCAGTATATCAAACACGTGGTAAAATACATATTTCATATTGTTCTACATAAGAAATATTATCTCTAAAGAAGCACCATAAAAACAGGGAGAAATGGGAAGAGGCATTACAAAACACTGGAACTGAAGACTAGCCAAAGAGAAAAAGCAAACTGCCAATTAAATTCCACTTTGACATTTCTTTTGATTTTTATGCACATGATGACCAGACTGCACATATAATTCAGTATTACTGTAGTCTCTCTGACAATTTGAACAGACAGACTACCATTACCAGATGCACAACTGCAAACAAGCCATGTAAATTACACAACAGAGCCTTTAAACAGACTGCTGTCTTGACTATGACAGCAGCCAGCAGAAGATACTTCAGAGCAGAAACCAAAAGAGCTATTAAAAGAAGAAACAAGAAAGAATTAGTCACCTTGTTATAACAGGTTATGAACTTGCCCAGCTGGTAAGCCAGGATACGACGACGATCATTTATTCCTAAATGACGTCTGGGGAGCAGCATCTTCAAGGACTGCTGAAGATTGCTGGCAGCTCGCCTTAGGAAGTGTACCACAAGCTCCTGCAAGCAAGAAAGATGGCATTAAGAATGGAGCACCTGCGAGATGTGGTGAGAACAGAGGTACTACAGCAGCTACTGACTGGCAAGAACTAAACACACGGTCCTGAGAAAATGAGAACACTTGAGGAGGATTTGTCTAAAAAGCATGGCAGATGAAAACAAAAAACAAGCAGCAAAATGCAGCAACAAAGAATCTCCTGTAAAGTCTAATGAGAACATTTCCAAAAAACAATCTGCAATCTTATATAGATAATCTGCAATGTGTTAAAGAAAGCCTGTGATGAAGCACACTGATATAAAACCCGCAGTGCTATCACAGGGAAGGGGATCTCGGTCAGATATCTCCACTACAGTGATCTAAGCCTTATTTCATCACTTTTCATGTATGCATATTATTACCACAGTCTCTCCACAGAAATAGATGACTACGTCTATAGCCATGTAATTCCAATCCCCCACCATGTCTATCGGATGCATCCTGTGGGTGTTTTGAACCCTTTCTGTCTCCCCTTGGAATTTGCTTTTGGTTAGGAGCAATGCTAACACATAAATGAGCAGCCTCACAGCCAAACTATTGGATTTCACAGCTCGCCTCTCACTGCCATTACTCCAGGCTGGTTTAATCTGTTATTTTAAACATTATTTTTCACAGTACAGCAGACAAAGTGACTCTCAATTTCCACTTGGAAAGGGCAGGGGTAACATTTTCCACTGAGTCGACTGATTATCCTTGACACACAATTTTATCTCTGAACTGCACTGGCTCTTTCCCTGGAACATGTATTCAGCAAGAAAGCTCAAGAGCCTACTGTACAAAGCTGTTTTAGGAAGGTTTGTGAGGGGATCTGGGCTTGCTGCTTGAAAATGTATATACATCAAATATAGGGCCTTAAAATACAGCCCAGAAAAATTAATCACACGGTTTTAAAATAAAAAATAAATACACAAATAAAAACATCTGTGCTAGAAAGTAACTTTCTATCCTCAGCGGTTTTCACTTTCTTCTTTTTCTTTTTCTCTATCTCAAATACAAAGAAGATTCCTAAATGCAGATGCTGGCAAAGGGTAAGACAGGACACAAGTGAAAAAGCTTAACTGGCTACCTGTTCTAGTTGAGTAGATGTATACTTTAATGCAACAGAAACTAGACACTGCCAAGCTATCTTAAAGAATCTTAGAGAGAAGAATTCAAAAGCAAGTAAGCTCAGAGATCAGTGAACAAGAATCAGTGAAAAATCTGAGCAACTTGAATATGAACCACATTCCAGTCATTAAGAGCTGACTACTCTTATTGCTGCTTAGATGTCAAATCAGCAGCCCTACCTTGTCTGAATATTAAGAATACAGCACTGGCAGCTGGACTACAATAGACAACTATAATGTCAGTCGGACTTCAGCTCTTCCAAGGATGGGAACTGACTTCAAAACTCTCAAGGGAGATTATAGCTTGGCTTCTCAGTCTGGCCAACACAAAGCTTCTTACCATTTGCTCATCTTCTTTGGCAGTCCAGGCAGAATTCTGGATCTGGTCACCAGCCTCCTTCATCAGTCGCAACTGAACATGCTGTAGATAGGCAGAGAAAGCCCTGCGAGCTTGCACTTTGCTGCGAACCAAAAGAATCAGTCAGCTATCTTCAGGGTAGTAATGGAGTTATAGCAGTTAAGAACAGTTTATGGACGAAAGTACAGTCGGCAAGGACCTCCTAGATGCACCAATGTTGAAGCTCAAGGGAAGGAGGACCCTTTCACCCTGCCAGTGTTTTCAAGTCCTTCAGCTCACCAAGATGGGGTAGATATTGCAGGATACACAAAAGACCACAGACACCCTCCAAGATCACCTCTAAAAACTGAATGGTCTCCTTGCTTTCCACAGCCTTAGCCACTCTCCTCCAAAATCCAACAATGTGAACATCAGCAAACTGTGTATTTTTAAATCAAATTCGAGACTCTCTTGGGCCTCTGTCTTAGCAAGCATCTTGAACACCGCAACAAGAGACCATAAAACAAATAAATGGCTTGGTACTGGGTGCCAGAGTTATAACAAAGATCCTGCAATTCCCATTGGAAATGAAGGAATTAAATCTGTGAAAGTGAGCTCTTCCCTGCTGGCCCAAGGAAACAAGCCAAATTTCACTGAGCAAAGCACCACTGAAGAATGAAAGAACATCAGCAAAATCTGCTGTGCAGCTGGCTGAACATGTTAGGAAGCTGTGAGTGTGAACTGAGGAGAGTTCACTGGGGTAGGACTGGGAGGGACACATTGCTTCTCAGTCCCTCACAGCGGTAGTCACTTTAGTGTACACATCAACTTCTCCAACTGCCAAACGCTTTGCCCAATTCTGTTCATTCTTATCTTGGCCTAAACCTCCTCTTCCAACATTCTGCTCTCCCAATCTCCACTCTTCCTCATAGTTTTCTCCATAGTCACTACCAGCTGTCCCTTGAATTGCAAACATAATTTCTCCTTCCCTTTTCATAAGAAAGTAGAAGTAAATGAGCTTTAGTGTCAGCTACTCTTCCATCACAGGCAATGTCCTAATCTTTTCTGTAAAATTATCAAGTTTCATCTTAATACAGTTTTCAACCCATTACTTTCCTAGAATATTATTCCAGACCTTACTGTTTTAATTATTAGAAACCTTCCTTTACTACCCAGCCTAACTTCCCTCATGAGCAGTTTGTATTTGCTTTTTCTTTCTCCAGCGTTGTCCTGTATCTTAAATAATTTCATTCCTAATGGGTCTCCCACCTTGAATATATTTATTAGCAATTACAGCCTTCCTTAGTTTTCATTTTACTAGTGTGAACTATCCACATCTTTCAGTATCTTCTAACAAAGCACCCACACTGGTGACATGATGAGACTAGCAGCTCTCTACCTGGCCAGTCACAACCTTCCCTGAACACAGGCGATAGCCACTGTATACGATATTACACATGAAATCTCAGAAGCATCTCAAGTGATAAACCCTAGACCACATTTGCATGCATACATGAGCTAGAGCTTCGCAAACCTCCTGCGATTAGAAAGCTTATATTTTTCCTTATAATTAATTTCCCGTTGATGAACACCCAGTTGATACAATTTCTGCTGTAAATTATTAGTTCTTACAGGCATGTCCTTGGACTTTGTGCTACTGAATTTTATCCTAGCTATATTATTCCTATTCTCAAATTCATCCAGCTCTTTCCATGTTTATTCCACTATGTTTCCCTCATGGTAATAACTTCCAAATCTTTTCCATCAGCAAATGAAATTTGCACATCTCTACATTTTGTGTCATTCTTGAATCACTTATTAAAATCAGCCTCAGACCAATTCCTGAGGAACCTCACCATTTTTTCATCTATTTCCTCTCTGCACCTTAGGAATATTCTCAGATACTTTTATGGTCCTAATGACTCCAGGTACACAAGTGCCTGAAATTTTATTAAAAACTCAGTTCACAAATTGTCTTCCTGTTTTATATGTCCGTAAATTTAATGGACACTTTGTTACATGTTACATAGTAACATACGACATAGTAACGCTTATCGAGACCTTATCAATCTAGATAAGAATTGAAATTAAAACCAAAATAAAATACATTAAAAGTATCCATGCATCTACTTAATCATTAGCTTTTGATGCTTCTTAAAGACCATGCAGGCACAAAGGGGGAGAGGGGTGAATGAGCTGCTGCATGAGACTTAAGTTACTGGGTTGGTTTAAACCACAACAACCTGTAACTCAAACATCTCATGACCAAGAGATCAAGATTTGTGCTGGTAAGAATTACGGACCCCATTATCAATATTGGCACAGTAATAGTTCTTTGCCTGCACCTAATACATCTGTGGTTACAAAACAGGAAACAGGGGAAGTTCAGGTTAGATATAAGAAGTTCTTTACTGTAAGGGTGGTGAGGCATGGGAATGGGTTGCCCAAGGGAGTTGTGAATGCTCCATCCCTGGCAGTGTTCAAGGCCAGGCTGGACAGGGCAACATGGTCTAGTGTGACATGTCCCTGTCCATGGCAGGGGGATTGGAACTAGATGATCTTAAGGTCCTTTTCCAAACCTAACTGTTCTATAATTTGATGAAGAAGGTGCGTGTATAACACTGCCTCTCCTTTGGTGTGTGGAATATTGAAACCTGAGTAACTCCCTTTTAATTTTACTTCCCTGGGAATGGCAGTTAGGGGAACATGTTTCATTCAACTGTCACCTCTTCACCAGTATCACCCAGCGTGAGGAAGGTAGAGAAACTGCTTCATCAGGCTGACTAATGGAGAGAGGGGTGTCCTATCACTTACAAAACCTGACTGGAACAAGCCTGGTTTCTTTTTGATGAAAATTTCATTACTTCAGCTCCTCTAACTCTTGACTCCACAAGCAAAGCTTTCATCAATGACAGATCAGATGGACCAAGCCAAGCACAATCCTGGAGCATGAGGTCACCAGAAGCCTTACTTCTGTGGGGAATCCCAACAGTACTGGGTCCTGTGCAAGATTCTGCCACAAACACCAGAGAGAGGTTACGTTCTTGTCAGAAGTCAGTTCTGTATATAGGTATATGACAGCACCGATATGTTCATCCTCAAAACAGGTTTCAGAATCTTCCCTGTCACAACAGCAAACATCCTTGCTACAAGAAGACATCACAACAATTCTAAAATCCATTTGAAAAATCATAAATCTTCTCAGAAACTAAACTAAGAAAGAACAAGCAACAATCATTTTCCCTACCTTTGGACATTTTTCACAAAAAACAACGCTGCTTCTCATCTAGAAGATGTAAAATCTCCTATGCAGATTATATATTATTACTCTTTCCTTTTGCCCTTCCTGTCCACTTGCAGATAGTTTTACTATCCATATTTAGTGGGAAGATCATGCTTCCAAACATCTAGTAAGACCCTGGTTGGTGTCATCCTATAGAATCTCCTCCAGCACTTCTCTTCTTCTCAAGTACCAGAACCGTGCATCAGAACATAATCTGTTCCACACTGTCATACTCAACAGCAGGCAATTAGATGTTTCAGTAACTTGTCACTCTCAGATGACCTCCTACCTTGCTCTCAGGAGGTGATTGAGCAAAGATTATTATCAGAGGTAAAAATGCCAACACCATAAATAAGACCACAAAAAGGAGACAACTAATGTTATGGAGAGGCAGCCAACATTTCTTGGATAGTTGAATTTATGTTTATACTCAGTTCTTTGTAAATGCAAAGAAATAAAGATGAATTTTAGAACTCAATAGCAGGCATCTTGCATTAAGAAAGAGAAGCATTTAAGAAGCCAGATTTGACCAAAGAACAGCTTGCAACACCAAATTAAAGACTAGCAATGGCAACTATGGCTTATCCATTATACTGATCCAACATGTAAACAGTCAGTCTTTGCAACTAATCTCCCTCCCATGCCAACTAGTTAAGGCAGCCCACAGTTAAGACAAAAATTCAGACCCCTTTCTCTAGGGTCCATTTATCTCTTAACACTTGATCATAATGTGCCACTAACTGCACATCCCCCATATTTTAACCAATATTAGCTGCAAGTCAAAATTCAAGACAACATGCAGAAATCTCTCACCTCAGGTTTCCATGCTTTTGAAGAGTTTGCAGCAAGTTGATCTGAATGTTTGTTTTCTGAGGAAACAGATCTCCTCCATCTCCAGGTTTCTTGTCAAGCTTTTTCGGCAACCTCTCCTTACTAGCAGTTCTCACCAAGTCAGAGAGCTTTGGCTTACTTTTCACCTCACTGTCCAAAACAGAGCCAACAGTTCTATCTAGCTCATCTTCATCTGTATCTACCTCCTCTTCTTCCTCACCTTCTGCATCTGACTTGAGGGACAACTTTATTGGTTCTGATGTCCCTGTAGTAGAAGAGAAATTACCTATGCTCATTAAGAAAAAAGTAAAAAGTTGGAAAGATTGTCCTGCTATTTATGCCCTTTGGTTTACCTCTAAACTCTTTCCTGCTAGGACAGAACACCACTATTTTAGAATAGTATCTTAACTATCGCTGCCCTTTATTATTCTATCTTTCTGCTTGTGTATCAAAGAGTTGAGAAACCCCTTTTCACAATATCAGAGAAGACACACCACAAGTCTTGTCTTAAATTTACAAATGAAAAAAATAATTAAAGAAACAGAGGCATTTTCCTATATTTTATACTGATTCTTACATATGTATGGAAATATATATAGACTCATACTTGATGCATATACTAATTCTTTGTAATTCTGTGTATCAAAAATACCAAAGCTATGACATCTAAAACTTCCACATGTGTCAATAAAGATCACATACATTAACACAGCACCAAAATAATTTTATAACATACAATCTCTCCCATTGCAGTCAGTATCACATAGCTATTAGAAAGAGTTTAGATAACAGCTTCAGGAAGAGCCACTTTTGATGATCATTTGCCTCTGTACCATTTAAATTTTTCCCATGTCAGACTGGATAAGAAGGATTTCTCTCTTTCCGACAGCTTAGAGACACTGCTGTGTAGGAGAACCAGCCTGGAAGGTTTCAAGTCTTCATCTTTGTTTGAAAAGGTGGAGGACTGTAAAGTCACACATACTGTTGAATTCTTGTAACCAAAAACGCAACTGCAAGATCATCTTCAAGAAAATATTATCTTTGGTCATTTACGCAGGCATGTGGAATGGTGGGAATGAAATTCCAGGCACTAAGAAGGCATGAAACTTGTAAGAAGAATGAAGTGAAAACTATTAACACTTGACATGAGAACTACTAACTTCAACCTCTGAAACCCTTCAGGAACTACAAAGGCCACAACAAACCCATTCACACACATTTCAAATGAAAAAGTCCTTGCTTATTTGGTTTTGACTGGCTGCTCATCTAAGATGTAGCCATGCATACCTGGTGATCCTGTCTGTGCTGCTTTAGACTTGCCATTGCATCGCTGGCGCTTTCGTAACTCCAGTGAAACAAGCTTTCTCTCGTAAAAGAGAGCATGAGAGTCTATAGCTTCAAGCCTCATATCCAGCTTTTCATTGAGACCTGCTCTGGGAAGTATAATACAGAGACATCCTCAATCTCCCTTTATACTTCTCTTCCTGATGCCAAGAGAGACTTAATAGATTAATTTTCTTCAAGAAACAGTTTTCCTGACAGGGGGAAGAAGTAATTATGATCGGTCTAACTTTGCTCTATTTAAAACCTGCAAATGTTTGAAGCGAGTCTTGGAAGTACTTTATAGAACATCACCTCAAAAGCCTCAAAATGTACTTATCTATAGTCATGCTTTCATGATTGAGCAGCTTCTGTCCACTGTGCAGCTCAAGCACAGTTAATAAGGAAAACTGAATTTGAAGAGTACAAAACCATGGAGGGGAGTGAGAAGACAGCACATGGATCCTAGTCCAGCCTTCCAAACCTTTTATGTAGACAGCTTGTTCTTCATTGTTTGCTCAGAGTTAAGAATTTTAAAACAATCTAAATGAAAAATTACAACCTTTCTACAAGTTCTGCCTAAACCAAGGGAGAAAGAGCCCCAACAGATTGCTTAAGGAGAACAAACATAACCTTCTACCAATGCACAAAGATCCAGCAAAGTGCTCTTTATGATGTAAGTGGGAACATCCCCGGAAAACCCTGTTGCTCCATTTATCTTTCAGATCTAGCAAAGTGAATACATGGGTATATGAAAACCAAACCCCTCATGCATTACAGGATCTTTAGAGAGAATTCAGTGATGAGGTTTATCAATACAGTAGGAATGACAAAGTAGGAAGCCTAAAAGGAGCAATTTTATGATCCAATACAACAAAACTTAAGCTCTCCACATGCTGGGATCCCCTATGCTCACTGTATTTACTTTTCTAAAATCAGTTTGATAGATAACAGATAGAAAAAGTGTTGACCAAAGACTTGGAAAATGAAGCTGCAAAATCTAAATTTAGAATAAATCCTATGAAGTACAAATTATTTAAGAAGCTATTTACCGGCATCTCCCAGTGGGGAAGTTTCTTTTCATCTTGCCCCTACAAAGGGAAAAATGGCAAAAATTACCTTCTGACTGGATTAAAATGCTTCCAAAGTCTTTCATAAGCACAGTGAAAAAGTCACATTTACAGAATTCCTCGTGAGTGCCATCTTAAAGAAGAAAAAAAAAAAAAAAAAGCTCTGAAAGAGGAAATCTGAACAGCTCTTCTACAACTGATGCTTTCATCTGTCTTAAATTGGAGAAGGTGTCATTTGGAGCTACCCTCCAGACACCTCTCTGAAAGTACATAGCGGGAAAAAAAAAAAGTAAATTTCAGTGCTTACTTTACATGAGGACAAGCTCTAATGTGACTTTAAATTTGAAACAAAAGGTAAGCAAGGACCACCTATAATCCCTTCATAAAGGAGCTTAGGTGCTTGAAGGTTTTTCATGTCTATAGTAATATTTTTTGTATTTTTCTTTTTGCCCTTGGATTCAGAAGGGCAACATATAAAACCTCCAGAGTCACTGGCACACAAGAGAAGAGATGTGCAACTATGACCACTCCTGTAAATCAGAAGCTGCTGTTTATAACATCGGCTAAGCGAGAAATCAATCCTTTTCATGCTGTTTGTGCCTTCTGCTTCCTTCTCAAACAGAAAAACTTTCTACCTGTCCTTAAACAGATGTGTAGCCAGCATGTAGTTCATTGATGTCTTGTACTGTAAAAAGGATCTAGAAAAACAAAACACAGGAGGTATCAAAATAGAACTCAACACAATGAAAGGCAGCATAATACAGAAATAATAATCTACTACAAATATCCCAGAAGTGGATTGAGACAATATGCTGTACCATAACAGAAAAGAGGAAAGGAGAAGACCTATCACTTCTCAGCTGAAGATCCTGGTGAGGTAAGAGACACAGAGAAATATTACAGACTGGATAAAATCAGAAAAGCATAATATAGCATCACTCACATGACGAGTCCTACATTGAGCTTATGGCCTAAGGACAATACACAGTATGTGCAGCTCTAGGATGTAAAAGAAGATAGCAGGAATGGATTATCTGAAGTGAAGACATTTTTATTCTGACAGAAAAGCAACATCAGAAGCAATGCTTGACATGCACTTAGGCAAAGCGGCAGCAGTTAAAAACAAGGGATCAGGAAAAAAGTAGAAAAAAGCATCTTCAACACTGAAATAAACTCTATCAGAACCCTCAATATGTGTCTTTCCAACTGCCAAGTCAGTTGACCTATATACATCTAACACAGAATTTCCCTCAACACAGAGTTTTGGTGCAACGCTAAGCCATCCTATTGGATTCTTACTCTTACCCATAAAGTCCCCATGTTAATGGGGTAGGGAATATCCGGATGAAGCCTCCTCTCCGTTCATTCTCTTCTCTCACTCGACAAAGAACTTTTATCTTCAAATAAAAAGAGACAAAAAAAAAGTAATCCAGCAAAATAGATACAATGAAAAATGAACCCTAAAAAAATCTCTGAGTTTCAGAGGACAAGACTATTACTGCAGTCCTGGGAGTGGGCTGGGTACACATGAAATCCTTAAGCAATTTTAATTCTGAAAGAATCTCTCACTACTTGGAGCACATATGGCATGACTGAGGGTAAGGGAAGTACCAGCAGTGAAATCCAGCAGTTCTATTTCAAGAATTTTACTTCTGTCGTATTTTTCATATACATGCACTTGCTCTTTGCTGAGCAAATAACCACACACATTGCTTGAAAGCCAAGGTAAATAAGAGAGGTTTAATACCCTACTTACCTCTTCCATTGAGAGACCTAGCACAGAGGTGCCTTGCCTTCCTGTTACTTTTTCCCTGCCTGAGGGCATTGAGTTTTTCACTTCAGCATCACCGGCAGACAGAGGACGGGTACGCTGTAGAGACAGTATGAACCCAGATTTTTCCCTTTTCCTCTCTCAACTTACTTTAAAAAAACAAAAGTTATATTCAAATTCCAGGACCCCATTCCCAGCAGAACCTACACTCCAGAGTACTACAGCCAGAATTCACAATTCCATACTGCAGTGTTGAAAAGTCCACACCCCAGTGTGTACTAAGTGTGACTATTCACATTCCTAGTTCTTAGCACAACAGGACTCATGATTCAGGCAGCAGTGCCAATATTTACACCCCTGGTCCCTTTCAAAAAACATGAAACATACCCAAAACCACCAAAGTCAGGATTTCGTACAGAAAAATCCTCACCCAAAGGACATTAGAGCCAGTGTTCACACTCACAGGCCCCAAATACACTTGGATTAACACCTCAGTGGTACCAGCACCATGATTCTCTGTTCCAGTTGTGTTGCTACACTAGAACAACAGAACTATAAATCAGTGATGAGATAAAGTTGTAGGGAAAAAGTGAAAAATTCAGTTCACCCCGTTATTCTCCTGTTACTATTGCACTTAATGGACATATCTGCAAGTAAGATCATGCAAATTTAAGAAATAAGAAAATACTTTGCAGACAGTCTCTCCAAGGACATTCTTAACCTGATGAGCAGTCCTATTCAATTCTAACAAAAGACAGGAATACAAACTGTCTTCAAACTAGCAGGATTATAGAATCATAGAATAGTTAGGGTTGGAAAGGACCTTAAGATCATCTAGTTCCAACCCCCCTGCCGTGGGTAGGGACACCTTACGCTAAATCATATCACCCAAGGCCTCGTCCAACCTGATCTTGAACACTGCCAGGGATGGAGCATTCACAACCTCCCTGGGCAACCCATTCCAGTGCCTCACCACCCTAACAGGAAAGAATTTCCTTCTTATATCCAACCTTAACTTCCCCTGTTTAAGTTTTAACCTGTTACCCCTTGTCCTGTCACTACAGTCTCTAATGAAAAGTCCCTCTCCAGCATCCCTATAGGCCCCATTCAGATACTGGAAGGCTGCTATGAGGTCTCCACGCAGCCTTCTCTTCTCCAGGCTGAACAGCCCCAACTCTCTCAGCCTGTCTTCATACGGGAGGTGCTCCAGTCCCCTGATCATCCTCATGGCCCTCCTCTGGACTTGTTCCAACAGTTCCATGTCCTTTTTATGTTGAGGACACCAGAACTGCACACAATACTCCAAGTGAGGTCTCACGAGAGCAGAGTAGAGGGGCAGGATCACCTCCTTCGACCTGCTGGTCACGCTCCTTTTGATGCAGCCCAGGATGCGGTTGGCTTTCTGGGCTGCAAGCGCACACTGCCAGCTCATGTTCATTTTCTCATCAACCACCAACCCCAAGTCCTTCTCCGCAGGGCTGCTTTATCTTATTATCTTAAAATCCTAGCAAGACTGAAATCTTTGAGCAAGTTCTTAAGCACATTTTAGCTGGTCTTAGGACCAGTTCAGATAAACTGCCTGTTAATGTTATAGAAGAGCCTAGCTAGGAAGGTCTTGTGACTTCATACAAAATTTAAGTCTTCTTTTAGTGCTATCCTGAGCAAAGAAGGCAGAAAGAGCCTTCTTAATCCAGAAAGAAAAGAAAAGCATGACAGAAACCTTGAACTGGATAAATCCAGGGGAATATCCCATGCTGCTCAGATATGACTAAAATTCATGGCAAGATCCGGCAGTACCTGTACTTGTAAGAGCTGTTTCATTAGAAATTGCACATGGCTACTCAAAATCTTCAGACGAAGCAATTGCAAAAGCAGAAGCATTGCACTAGAATGGGTTACACTGCAATGACCAACACAGAAAGATCCAAGGAGAAAACAGATATAGCACGTGCCAGTTGAAACATTGTTAAGCATTAAATTTTAAGCTTTTTAATCTCCTCCTGCTCAGTAAACTCCTGCTTGGTAAACTCCTCTTAAAAACCATTTCCTGACACTATGATAATAATCATCATGTGAGAACTGCTGCTCAAAGATAATATTACACTAAAGTTTCCATCTTATCAGATGATCTCTTTTACTAAGAAAACACCCCAATGAAATCATCTCCAGAATCTCAATACAATGGAGATAAGTGCATTGATTACAAACAGAAAATTTATGCCTATGTATTGGCAGCTGTGGTTCCTACATCTGGCAAAGCTCTGACTCCTACCTGAGAGCAAACTACACTACTGTCAAAACACTAGAGAAAAACTAACTTTACTGAACTTTCTGCACAAACAGTTTTTTCAGTGTTTTACTACAGAATCCTCTCTGGCTGTAGCACAGAAATGTCTCCAACTTCATAAAGATTTTGTTCCCTCTTTGACCCAGCTTATCTTTAGAAGTACAGATAAATCCAAGCATTTTGTTTTATCTCCAAATTCTGCAAACATCTCTGGTTCCCACATCAGCATTCTAATTATACTAAGCAATGACAGCAGTTGGCACAAAGACCCTTCCTATTCTCTATGAGACCTCATTATTCAATGAGACTCTCTTCTCGGCTGAACTGTCCTCAGCTACACTTCCACAGAATGACAAATGGCAGTGCGTAGAATTAATTAGGTTCTCAAGATGATTCCATCTGTCCTACCTTCATTCCTGCTGAGAAATCTCAAAAAAAGTCAGAATCATCACTATTACATTTATACAGAAAGCCTAGCAGCAAAACAATGCCTACTGTGTCCCCACACAGCTGGGTGCTTAAAAAAGTAAACTAACATTGATTTGTCCATATGGCTTGAAAGGAGGGTGCAAAATATAACATTCAGAAATGTGGATCAGTTTGAATTATTCTAACAGTAGTTCTACATTTTCCATTACCTTCAATAAATCATTCTTACCTTTATCCATTTTGACCCAGCTCACCCTCAAATTTCTGCAGTTTCCTGCAGATGACTGTCTCACAGAAAATAATTACTTCTCTTATGGGGCCTCCTAAATTCTGTCAATACACATTCACCTGTGCCGTCCATATCATTCAGTCTCATTTCATCCCCTGTAGCACACAAGACAAAAATTCCTCCTCCCATTTGATGTGACACTTCTACTTGCTGCTGTTTTCACCAGTTTTTGCACTTTCCCTTTCAGTGACCTACCAAATCCCGAACACTGTGCTACCACTGTCTTCATCATTTGATGACCAAAATGACAACTTTATCTTTAAGCATTTATATTCAAATTCTTTAAAATGCAGTTCAGAAATACTTGTAGGCTTAAAAACTTTAAGGGATTTAACCCAGCTGATCTTGTCTCTCAGCGCACATCACCCACTCTTTTTTTAAGCTGCTGGAACAGATGTAAATGTTTTTCCAACCTTTGCTCTTGCCACATGGAAACATATGTCAGCACCCAGCCCTCTCCTCTCTTCTTCCTCCCCACTCAGGCCACTTAGCTGAAAAATATATTTTGGGACCAACTGCACCAAAAGTATTGTACAAGGTAATATTTGAAACTGCATCCCTTATGCTGGTGAAGGGAGCTGACGGGCACTTATCAATTTAGCATTTGCTGTTTGCGATTGCATAGACACAGGATGCTGCAAGAGACACACAAAGAGAAATAAGAACCCTGTGTTCTCCAAGACACTATCATCACCACTCAAGCTGCAGAGGAATGGTGAGTACCCTAAAGTAAAAGGATATAAATGAAATCCAGAGATACAGCTAATAGTCTCTATCATCTCAGTGCAGATCATTTTCATATGCTCCACAAATGTATTCTGTCCCCATTAAAATACAGCACTAATCCTAGCCTCAGATGCGCTCAACTGTACAGAATGCATCTGGGCATTTACATCATTTTTGAACACGCAAAAAAGAGCTCTGCAGAATGGATGAATTAACTCAATTCTAATGACCAAAATTCATATTTTTCTAAGATAAGAGTTAGAGGAAAATATTTAATAGCTATGTATTAAGGAGAAACAGGTGTAGAAATATCAGCAGAATGTCAAAAAGTACCCTGTATTATTTACCTGGCATCAGGTCTACAAGCAATAACAGTGTAATGATAGTAGGTTCAAAAGAAAACTATTATGATTGGTGCTTAGATTTTTCTTGTGTTTGGTGGTATTCAGGCTGTCTTCCTCCTCTCCAATGCCCAAGAGGAGCAAACGATGACTCTCAGGAGACCTTTCTATCATTTCTAACTGGAGAACTGCCAATTTCTTGTCTACAGTTGGTCTATACAAAAGAGGTCGAGGTCTCTGTATTGCTTATGATTAATTGAAAGAGCTCCTACCTAAATTAACAATAAGAAACAGCCGAATTGTTAATTTCCCCAGAGAGAGAAATGTTCAGAGGGTCAAACCGAAGAAACTGCACAAAGAACTTGCAGTCCAGTCTTGTGAAACTCAGAAAACAGAATAACTATCTCATGACCAGGAACACTGGGCATGCATTCAGCAAAGAACATGCCAAAAACATGCTATAAAATTTTATCACTGGATTAGCAGTCTGTGACTGGTAAACATAGGTAAGGATGACACCTGTCCCAAAAGATAAGTTCATAGAATCATAGAATAGTTAGGTTTGGAAAGGACCTTAGGATCGTCTAGTTCCAATCCCCCTGCCACGGGCAGGGACGCCTCGCATTAAACCATATCACTAAGGCTCTGTACAACCTGGCCTTGAAGTTAATCCCATCTCATAACCACTGTTCTGTCATATGAATCTTTGCATATTTCAACCGGCCAGGCCTTACACCTATTTGTGGGGTTTTTTTTAAGCAAAGTAAAAGTTTAAAGCCACATTAAAATTCAATGCTTCTCAATGGCTTCATTTTATGAGACTAATTTTTTATTTTTTTTTTCCAGATAAAACATTCAATCAGACCCCAAAGATTCGTCATTACTCTAAAAGAGAAGATCACTTTTTCTATATGGTTCCCAATTTATCTAACATACATTTTGTCTGCCACAAAGAAGACCTTTAAGGTCATAGGGATCTGTATGAAACCGTATCTATTAAAATGGCCTTAGAAGCTTTGGACTCGGCCATGCATCCTGTACTCAAATCTCAACTTGCAAACTATTCACCTCTCTCACTGTGAGCCAAGACTCCAAGTTTTAAAAGAAGCAAAATGTTGCCATTTCTGTGAGCTTTCCCTATAAAAAAATGGACAATATATTGGTACTCTGTCACTGAAAAAAATACTTTTCATTTCCTAATTGAACTTGAACTACACAGCCATTATGCATGTCCCTCACAGGAACATATTTGTCAGCTGCAGAGTGTGCCAAGATACTCTGTTTGCCTATTTACCTCAGAAGAAATGCATTTTAAAGTCCAACATAGGAATTTCCCTACTTTTTCATGTAATCTCAGATTGGTTTGGGTTGGAAGGGACCTTACATATCATCTAGTTCCAAACCCCCTGCCATGGGCAGGGACAGCTTCCACCAGACCAAGTTGCTCAGAGCCTCATCCCACCTGGCCTTGGACACTTCCAGGGATGGAGCAGCCACAACTTCACTGGGCAACCTGTTTCTTATATCTAATCCAAATCTAACCTCTTTCAGTTTAAAGACTTGCCCTGTAACTCCTTGCTCTTATAAAAAGTCCCTCTCCAGCTTTCACAAAACAGAAGTGGCTGAACAGCCCATAGCCCAGGTGGATCTGCCGAGTCTCTTCTGTAGTTACGCTAGAAACCCAGATAACCTTACTCACTGACTTTTTCTCCCACCTGTGAGCCAGATTCAATGAGAATAACTTCCCTGCTATTCTCCTCAGCTCTAGCTGAATTAATTTACCTGCAGCTTCTGATACAGATTTCTCCTGACAGATTCAGATGAACAATTGTCCCGGCTTGAGCGTTGGCTTGGATCCTGGCAGACGAAGCCTGGGGGCATCAGAGGAGCCACATAAGAACTTCAAGTCAGGCAAATCCTGAAATATAAACCTAGCATTCCTTTTAATTTATATACATGACTGTCCTGTCCAAGGACCAAAAATAATACTATTCCTTTTTACACCATGCTTTAATCCTAAACTTTACACTGCATCACACTTTTTTGATTAACACTGAAACTTTCTCTCAAAACCAAGTTACTGAATAGCAGCATAGAGATGGGGTCTGTTTCTTAAACTGCGGAGCAGGCTACCTTATGACAATTCTGCTTCTTTCAGTATCAGGGCAAGTTGCATCAAATAACTGAACCAAAACGGACTAGGGATGCCTAAAAGGTGCTATGCACTAGACAGTCATGCAGCTTTCACAACCATGACTCCTCTTCTAACATATGCTAACCAGAATCCACACAACCTACCTAAAAAAGAAAAATAAACCCAAAAAACAAATGACACCCCCCCCCAAAAAAAAAAACCAAACCAAACCAAAACCCAAATGAAACCAAAACAAAAAACAACAAAAAAAGAACCACAACTGAAACCCACCACATTAATTAAAGAGAAACAGTAGTATCTTCAAATACTGAATTAGGGACTCTACATACCACATAAACATCACAGATTATTCTGAAGCAGAAATGTCCACATACGACACCCCAGTGCTAAATACAGTACTCCTTAACTGGAGTTCTCCTCTATTATACACTAATAACATTCAGCTCATAAACCTATCTTTTATTGGTTCTAATGATGGGAAGATTGAAGGAGCTTTTTGTTACACTCACCTACAAGGGTAAACATATCTGAGAGCATGCTAGCTTTGATCTTCAGATCCAAAGGAGCATCACTACCCCCACATGCAACAAAGGACAACAGGCATTACTTATCTGGCATTAAATGAGAGGAATGCATCTCAAGACGTCTTCCAATACAGTTTTTTTGTATTGGTCCTTAACACAGACATAATCAACATGGGAAGAAAACTATATGATTTTCACACCAATAGGTAAAGATTAATCTGTTTCCATTTATCCTTTTTCACTACTTTAGTATTCTAATGCAGCAACATGCCATCTTGTCTTAGCTCTGCTTGGCTAGACGCATTTGCTTTGAATGCATCTATACGACATTTCAGGAAGCAGGTAGAAGCTGCTGTCACAGAATTATTAAAAAACACAATTACCTATGGCTCTTCCACATAAAATCATAAAATCAGACAGGTTAGTTCTAATGGATGACAAAAAATGATTAGGGAAGGTGATAAATATGAAAAGGTCAGACAGTGGGCACAGACGGGATGCAATTATAATTTTATCCAGTGGAAAAATCAATGGATACAGTTCAGATCAGACAGACAAAGTTTGATTCCTTGGAAGCAGAGAAATCAACCATGTTCTGCAGCACAGTGAGAGATGCCAACAAAGAAAAATGCCAAGCTTGGACAAAGAGAATGGCAATCATAAAGCAGAACAAAGGATGCAGATGTGACTTACAGTTTTAAATAGTAAAGGATGCAAATAATTTGGTGTGTATGCATATAAGCACAACCAACCAAACCAGGAAAATAAATATTGTGGAAACATTTTAGATGCACTTGAAACCAAAAACAGGTACTGTGGAAGGTAGGGGAAGGTAGGGTTATGAATGGGAAGGGGGGGAAGGGATGCCTAGAGGAAGGTCAGATATGGCTATTCCAGGAACATTTAACTTAAAGCTTATTTATACCATCCTAACTGAAGTATGACTCACACTACTACAGAAGTGCATTGTGCATCTGTGTTCCTGTAAAGCTAAATAGTAGTCCAGGAAACACACATAGTTAGAGATCTACAAAAAAAGAATAAATCCTGAAGTTTCATTAGAGTATGAGTGTCAGCATAAGGGCCAAGACAACACTCATTCTTCAGATTTTAGCTAAAGAGAGTACTAGACCAAAAATCTGTGCCCAAACATCTATTTACATACTCAAGTCAAGCATAATGCCTGAACTCTGCTTAGACTCCAAAATCTTAGTTTCTACTCAGCAAAGGAGATTGAAATCCCACATTATAGCCTAGAGAGTTTCAAAATTCATCTATGATGGGAGATTATGAAGTGTTAACAATGACGATGGATGGTGGAGGAGAAAGAATTAAAAAGAAAATGGAATCCCAACTGGGTTCTTTCAAAACTGATTGCTGCAATAAGTTTGTTTACGCACAGGGAAAAGCAAAGGACTATCCCTGTTAATCAGCAGTGGAACAAATACTCTGCAGGCATTATGAAATCCTAGGCCCTCCTAGGACCACAAGTTCCAAGGACAACCATCATTAGCAACAGTCCCAGCCTCATATTAAACTGTGAATCACTTACCAGGCCAACGATGGGGATAGGTTTACTTCCAACAGCCAGGGCTTGAGAGTGTCATCAATAAGGACATCAAAACCATACAGCTCTGAAAACACAGTGGATATTTAAGTTTACCTTACTGCACCTTTAAACATTCAGGTAAGGTCCAACATTAGTATCTATCATGGCATTTCCATCTATATAATTTTATGTTCAATCCAAAGAACTCCCTTGGGCTGAACAAATAATAACATTCCACAAGCGGGAAATTTCATTTCCTTAGAGTCAAGATTAAATATATTCTGTTTGTGGGGGAAAAGAGGGAAGCAAAAATTGGGTCTTAGGAAAGTGTTGATGTCCACAAAGTGCAGTCCATGCAGAACTCTACTGCTTGTTTTGTGAAAAGAGCAGGTCCAATTCACTTCTTCCACTGGATCCCGGAAACAACAGAGCTTCATCCTTTGCACTTTTTAATGCCTATATTCATTGTGCCAGTCAGCTATAGAAAACTTTGCTTCTTTCAAGCATCAGCTCCTTTTCAATTAGTCCTGTACATGTTTCCCTAATATCCCCACAGAAGCACAAGGGTCTTCTCCTTAGCAGCTTCATCTACATGGACAACCCTCTAACTTTTTATCTTACTGATAGCTTGCCACTTTTCAGCCAACCACTGTAGAAATATTTTTTCCTTAGTTTCTAAAACATTCATAACATATTACATCTGCTAGATGTGTTCTGCTCTACACAGGTCAGATTGAAGCCAACTTCCCATTCCAATACTGTTTTTAGCATTTCACTCTATACACATGTTCTCCCTAGTCTGGAAAGAGTTGCAAGAAGGATGCTACACGACAACTGTAAATCAGAAGTTGGCACTAATGCAATTCCCTCTTTCAGCATTAAGAAATAAAGTTAATTATCATCAGAGCAACTTATGCATGTTTTTTCAAAATGCAGCATAACAGAGAATGTTGGCAGAGAAGAAGGATTTCCGTGGAATTAACCAGTTCTCTAGTGCTTGGAGTGAAAGCAAGAAAATTTATTTGCCACGCTGCTTTCCTTGAATTCTGGTCTTGGCCTTTTGTCACCTGCCTGACACTAATGCTGGCTCTGGGGAGCTGGACTGCTTGACAAGATCTTCCTATGCAAACAGCTGTGCAAAAACTCATGCAGCTTATAATGGGAAGTTAATGAGCTGGGGGGGGACTTGGAAGGGGAGGAAATGGCAGCACAGCAAGTATTGCCTGCTCACTTTTCTAGACTGTGTTGCCAGGCATTGAGTGGGAAGCAAAAGAGCAGAAAGTTAAGGGGTTGGTTCACTCCAAAGAAATGAGGCTGAATTTACGTTTGGCTCTCTTGCTCCCCAGACAGGAAAGGCTGCAGTAGAGGGGAAAGGATGAGGTGGGGATTATAAGTGTAAACAACAGCAAAGCATTTTGACCATAAACAACTTTTGATTATTTCAATGCATTGTTCCAAAATACAGTCACAGGTTTGGTAAAGACCTATGACTCTTAAGAGCATAACCAGTGACAGGCAGCTCATCCCTGAGGCAGAGAAGCAATGACCAGGCCTGTGGCAGCTGCTGGTCTGTGACCTTCCAACCCCAGTAAGGAAGCAGAGCATTTTGTTTTGACTAGCTGCTGCTTCTTTTGCTGTTGGAAATTCCCTCCCTCTGCCCCTCAGAGGACCTTTGCTAGTATTTTGGCTCCTTTGACTTTGTTCTCCTCTCCTACACTTTTCTCCCTTCCAAACCACTTGCTCTTTAAACCTCCTTCTTTCCTACTCAGTTACTCACTCTGTCCACTTTTACAAATACATACGGGAAACCTCTTGCCCTCAGCTAGCTCTGACCATGCTCCTGGTGCTTTACACTCTTTTCCCTTATTTCTGCCTTGTTTATTAGCACAGTAAGCTCTTTGGAGTATTGCTGTTGACTCAATTCCATTATTAAACACAGATATCTCATGCCAACTGTAATGCCTTAGATTCTCCTGGAAACACTCCACTGCTGCTCCATAACGCCCCAAGTCTCAAATTTTAGGTCATACCTACAACCCCTAGACAGAAGTCTCTCCTAATATCAGGACATCAGAAGCTATGCAATATCCATGTTCTAGCAACAGAATCAAGCCTCACAGATTCCCAAATGGGCTTAGTACAAAGGGTTTCTCAAGTCTGCCTGGGATACTAGGGCACAAACAGAAGACAAATTACCTGCAGTTTCAGCTATCCTAGAAATGTCTCCTTGGCCCTCTTCCACATTTGGAAAACGCACTACCGAGATTAAACATAGAAGTACCCTTTCTACTGTGAAACTCCACTATAATTTGTGAAAATAAAAACATAGGCAGCACAGAGATGTAGAGTCATGTGAGCATAGCAAGATCAGAAGTATATCCTCTGCAATTACCAACTTAAGCAAGACGGCTATTTCCCTCTGTGGGGACAATAAAGAAAGAACAACTGAAAGACAAAAGGAGTGTGACCAGCAGGTCAAAGGAGGTGATCCTGCCCCTCTGCTCTGCTCTTGTGAGGCCTCACCTGGAGTATTGTGTGCAGTTCTGGTGTCCTCAACATAAAAAAGCATAGAACTGTTGGAACAAGTCCAGAGGAGGGCCACGAGGATGATCAGGGGACTGGAGCAACTCCCGTATGAAGACAGGCTGAGAAAGTTGGGGCTGCTCAGCCTGGAGAAGAGAAGGCTGTGTGGAGACCTCACAGCAGCCTTCCAGTATCTGAAGGGGGCCTATAGGGATGCTGGGAAGGGACTCTTCATTAGGGACTGTAGTGATAGGACAAGGGGTAATGGGCTAAAACTTAAACAGGGGAAGTTTAGACTGGATACAAGGAAGAAGTTCTTTCCTGTGAAAGTGTTGATGAACTGGAATGGGCTACCCAGGGAGGTTGTGAATGCTCCATCCCTGGCGGTGTTCAAGGCCAGGCTGGACAGAGCCTTGGGTGAGATGGTTTAGGTGAGGTGTCCCTGCCCATGGGTTGGAACTTGATGATCCTAAGGTCCTTTCAAACCCTAACTATTCTATGATTCTAAGATGAACAAGTGCTTCAGGTTGTGGCAATGGCAGGTTTATGACAACCCACCTTGCACCATTACTGTTATTAAGGGAAGAATACAAGAAACTAAGATATCAAGTTTCTGCAGTGCTTTCCCTTGCTCCGCTCCTCTTGCTACTACAGTCCACAAAAACATGTTTTACCCTCGCAGTTTGCTAAAGAGACTGGAATTATCTCAGGAGCTGTTGCCAACACTAAGCAGAAAAAGCCTGCCTCTCCCCTCCGACCCCCATAGAGAAGTGACTGCTGACCAAGCTTCCCATCCTCCCAGAAGAAGGGCCACCTTCAGACTGAAGTCTAAAAGCAACAGCTCAGCCAAAGATTTTTTTGCCGATGTCATTGAGACTAAGAGAAAGGCTAGAGATATGGCTTCAAGCTTTCTAGGTCTGGTTAACTACCACGTATTCTACCTCATGAAGTTTGTCTTACAATCCTGTCAAAGACTGCACTGTCCCTCCCCAAAGAATTTATTAGAGTCTGTAAGTCAAGAAATTTAGTATCTGGTAGCACAAACAATGTTTTCATGATTTTGTGTAGAATGAACAAGCTCAGCTCCTAGATGGTGGCTAGAATTCTGGTCTTTATTGCCAGCTTGTTCACTAAGGAAAAAGAAGCAGCTTTACTGCAAAGCACATATTCTGCAATTGAATGGAGGTGACCTGAGGTTATGAAGGGATACATACACGTATACACTGAAAAAAAGATGCATAGTATGCAACTCTTGATTTGGCAATAAAAACAAACCAATTGCCTCACTTTAAGCAGAAGTATATTTACAGACAATCCCCTAATGTGAATAACAATATCTGTGCCACTGAAATGCAAGTCTTCCCTTGTTTCTCCTTACTTTCTCTGTGCTTTAAATACAGGTATCATGCAGACCATGCCTGTAGACAACATGTATCAAGGAGCTCGAGTTAGAAAAGTTAACTGTGGCACAGTTTCATCCAAAGCAGCTATCAGTCAGTACAATGGAGGAAGACTTCTAAGAGTATAGTGATGGACGCCCTGCTCTGTGGAACATATTGCCAAACTTGATGCTTTAGAGACTACGTTATATTTTGTAAATGAACTCCACCACTTTATCAATCACTGAACTCCATCACTTTATTTAGTGATGATACTGTACCGGCTTCAACTCTGGTAGCTATGGGGACATGAACAAATCTACATCTTGGAGGCTATCAATCACAGTCAGGTCCCAGATAATTCCTGTTAAACTAGAAAAGGACAGCATAACAATGTAGGCTTTAAAATAAACAAAAGACCACACCGTCATATCAAATAGCAGAATAGAAACCTCTACTCTGGACACCAAAGGCTTTGGGGAAAGTAGTGGTGATGTTGGCTTGTGTAAGAATTTGCCTTGCACTCCAAGTAATACAGCTTAACTCCCTTTCTGAGAACACTTTATTTTAACAGAGGAAAGCTTTATCTCTCAGTGTTGTTATAGGAAAGGGCCCAACAACAGGGGACAGAATTATTTCACATGTTGGTGTTCTTGCCTGCTCCACAAGATGCAGCCTATGCCTGCCAAAGTCTGTCATACTAGTTTGGCCAAACGCATAATTACCTCACTTAGAGGCACTTTCTCCACAATAGGTAATCAGAGAAAATACATCACTTATGACTTCTCAGTTGCCAGAACCTATAATAAATGCTCGGAGCACTGTAGAGATATCCCAGCTGCTCCAGCCAATGAGCTGGCTTCAGCTGGAGCTCGGCTCAGATGCCTCTATACAAATGCCCGTAGCATGGGGAACAAACAAGAAGAATTAGAGATGTGTGCACGTCTACAGGGGTATGATATAATAGGCATCACAGAAACATGGTGTGATGGCTCCTATGACTGGAGTGTTGGAATGGAAGGTTACAGGCTCTTTAGGAAAGACAGGCCTGGCAGGCGGGGAGGTGGAGTTGCCCTTTATGTTAGGGATAGGCTGGAGAGTATGGAACTCTGTCTGGGGACAGGTGAGGAGTCCACAGAGAGTTTGTGGGTCAGGGTTAAAGGGAATATAGCTATGGGAGACA